CGGCGCTATGCTCTGTGCATTCAAAAACTTTATCACTGACCGCACTTCACAGTCGGCGGGAGCTGGAATAAGAACCTCCATCTTCAACAGCTGCAACGATGCTACTGTGAGAACGCGGGAAGTACCGTTAGTGCATGCGCCATGCTACATCATTGCTCTATCACGTACGCACAGTCGCTTCGCGCAATATAAGGTTTGCTAGCTGTGGGACGAGTGGGAAACTTACTTTGTGGACGCGCCTCGTAGTATGGTACTTAAGCACCTTTACCTTGTTTACGTGAATTAACCCACCTGATAAAGTAGGAATTCTTGCATCTTTCTTCTTTTTATCTTCTCTCTTCACACGAAGGGCAGTTGGTAGAAATCTAGTAACATCTGCACTTAGGTTTCTGTAACACAAGAAATGCACAAAATTAAATTTCTCCTGATAAAATTAGCTAAATGTTTATACAACTGCACAACAATACAGTTTATGAAATAGCTCTATATATGAAATAATTCTAACATCATTTATAAAATAGAAAATGGCACAGTGAGTAGCTTAGTACATTAAAAATGGCCTAAAATAAAACAGCAAACATCAAAACATGTTACCATGAAGTGATTTATTAAGAAAATTAATTGTTTAAATGGACATACTATTCTGCAGTAAAACTAATCACAAAACATTTGGTCCATCGGGACATGAAGTGGCAAGTTGTCATTAGTCATCTACAGTGCCAAAAAATGTTAAAAATACAGTATGTTCCTTGCATAACATGCTAACACTAATTCAAATTGATATGTATAGGTACTGAATTGTTCCTACATTTATATAAAATGAACATACCTGATTTGTGGCTTAGCTTCTATAGTGGCGCCATGCTGTTTCTTGCCCTCTGCTACAGCACCTTCTGTGCGAGCTCGGTTGATTAGTTGGGGAGCAGCACTCAGAACATTTGGATTACTTGTAAGAGGGACAGATGGGCCAGGAGGAATTGGAATAGAACTGAGTGAAGTTGGTCCACCTGAAATTGGATTAGTTGATGTTGGTAGAGGTAATCCTGGCAAAGGAATGCCTGTTGGCAGACGTGGCGGGGGACCAGGTGGCCGCAGCAGACGAGGTGGCATACCTGAACATCCAAACTCATAATTAACAATGTTTAATGTTGTAATAAATTCTAAACATGACAAAACAATTAAGAATGTGTTACACTTCACAAATTGTTCAAAGAGGAAGACAGAACATTTTGTATATGCATGAATTTCTACCACTTCTAACATAGTGTACTCTGGAGTAGATAAAAATTATCATAGAAATAAATCACCTCTCCTGTTGTACCCTCATGGCTAACTCTCAGAAGACAGCATTTTTCAAATAAATGTTAAACCTAGTACAATGTTTTAGGATATTAAAGACTAAATCAAAAATTTGAGCTCACAACTAGCATTCTAGTCCCATATGAGCATTCAAACAAGACTGAAGTTTGATCAAGTGTTTACATTCCTTGGAGAAACATACAAGAGAGATTTAAGATGCAGGTATTCAAGCAGAAGTGTTCAGGGAAAAAATTCAATAATTTGTGCAAAGCGTCAGCAATATCAATGAATAATGAGATGTAAATGTTGTCAGTATCAGTTTAAACACCTTATAATATAATAAAATAATATGCCTTCCTATACCTCGGCCAGATTTGAGGCTATAGAAGAAGACTACGCTAACATCAAGCCACACTCCTTTTGATTTACAAACTTAATCTGTTATGTTACCAATTTCTTACAAGTTTCCACAAACTTTAGCCCTTAATAATATGTTGACGAAAATGTTTTTAATTTTATTGGTAACATCTTTCAATGACTTATACAATTATAAAAAAGGAACAGAAAGTCTGAGTTTCATTTCTCAGTGCATACAACTTATGATAAAGTGAACACAGACACTTAAACTATAAACAGTACCAATCTGTGGAATGATCCATATATTTCTTTACTCTCTATGTTTAGACCACGCTTTTATAAAAGGAATTTCAGTTTACCTGGTGGAGGTCCTGGGGGCAATCTCATTCCAAGTCTTGGTGGTAGGCCTGGTGGTGGTCCTGGAGGAAGTCCTGGTCTACCAGGTGGTGGTCCTGGAGGAAGCCTGATCCCAAGAGGTGGTGGAACTCCTGGACGGAGAGGTGGTGGTCTGAACATCATTGGTGTCATACCAAGGGGAGGAACTGGTGGTAGTCCTGATAGATGAGGTACAGGAGTTGAAACTGATATTGATGCAACTGAGGTGCTGCCAGCAGCAACAGGTGGTTGTATTTGAACAGCCACAGTAGTAGGTGGAGGAAGAGTCAAATCTGTTGTACCAGTGCCAGGTGGTTGTAGACTTTGAGAATCATCACCTTCATTCTCCTGTGACTGAGCTGTACCAGAAGTATTTATATTTGAAACACTGCCACCATGTTTTGATACATCTGCTGTAGTTTCATTGCTAATTTCACAGTCAAGCATTGATAGTCTTGCATTCAGATCTGCTGCGCGATCTTGTTCTCGTTTCCTATGGACTTCCTCCATCTGTAAATGATGAACAATTCATATGCCCTACCATTAGATTATTTTTAGGTGGCATTAAAACTTTTACTTTCCTCTTAGAAACATGTGTGATATCAAACATGGTAGTGTAGCTGGCACTTTTATATCATATTCTATAAGCTTAAAATTTTAGTTGGAAAACTAACTTGTCTGAAGTCTTTTGTGACTCACAATCACTCTAAGAAATAGATCGGGGCCTTAAAATAAGCCATGGATACTTCCTGCTACATATTTTCTGACTCAGTATCATAATCAGTGATTTATCATTTGATGCTATATAATCCAAGTAAATGACAAGGCCTCATTATTAAAACCAATAAGTAATGATGATGCAGATCAAACTGGAAGGGGTGAATTTATTTCTGTCTAACTGAACCTCTTGCCATTTATATAACTGCTGGATTTAAAAAATTACGATTTTTTAAAATTATATTTTTTGCAAAATCAATGATGAAAGAAAGGCTATTTAAAGTAAAGACTGTAACTATGCCCATGAAAGTAAAATATTTAATTCCAAAATCCTAAGTCAGAGCCAAACAAATGTCTTTTGAAATACTAAATTATCACATGAGTGTAAAAACATTTGTGGACAACATTTAATTTGACTTAATTATACTAGTTACCAGTATATGGACAACAATCAAGATATGAAATATCACACAATTCACCTCTCGCATAAACTGATCAATATCCTGTCCAGCCATTGCAAGCATTTTCTGTTGAAGAGTTGTTGGTTTTGGGGTAGGAGCTGGAGCAGTTTCAACACTCAGGCTATCCTCATCTTTGTCTCTTCTTGAATCTAAGAGTTTTGAAGTGGACACTGTTGATGGTGATGAAGCTGATACCGCTGTAGCTGTCGGTGCTAAAGATGCAGATACTACTGCAGCCGCAGGAACAGCAGAGGTTTGCTCAGGAGGAGCTTCAGGAACTTCATCATCTGCAAACCTAATCACTCGCTGACGAGGTGGTAAACCTGTAACTGAAGGATGCTTCTCTGGGATGCCTGATGACATAGCAGGCGTGTGCTTATCAGAAGATGGCTGATAACCTTCACCTGAAAAATTACATACTTATAACTTTATATTAATGTCAATTTACATAAAAGGAAAACAATGATATGCATTTCACATTACACTTAAAATCCTTCATCTACGTAGTGTTCAATTTTTATGATCCTAGCCTAATTATCTGACTGTTAAATTTCATCAAACAAAGACTTCCTCATTTCAGCAGTCCAGTATTTTATTCTTCAGTGAAACAAATGGAGACTCCACTGTACAAATATGTACAGTCTGGAGCTCTACTGTTCACTAAGAACACTATCAACTGTAGTAGATGCTACTGTCATCTGAGTGACATTAGTTTTTATTGCTACCTTAACAACAAAAATTTTGTTCTTAATTTGTTAAACATTAAAACTGGGCAATATCAAACCTGGATATCCAGGATATATGATGAAAGCATGTCATATGTAATTATATATGAGATGAAGTGAAACAGTCCATGGATATGAAGTTTTAAAATACAATATTACTTACCATCTAGATCCATGGGTTCTTCCTCATCATCATCACTCAGTTCTGGAGGAGGTCCTGGTGGTACACCTGGTGGTGTTTTGGGTTTTACTGGAATTGAGGTATAAGCTGATGTCTTTTTTAGAATACCATGGGGTGGTGGTAATGTAATACCTGGTGGGACAGGTAATGTCATGATTGGGTGAGAAACAATGCTGGATAAAGGTACAGGGAGATCTGTCGGTAATGGAATCTGAGAAGGCAGTCCTATGAAAGTGTTTGGATCATTTGGAAGTTGAAGTGTTGGTAATGGTATATCATCAACCTGAACTTGTTGTGCATGACGAACTGATTCAGCATAGGTTACCATGGCAATTCGACGTTTCTCATATTCCACTTCCATACGTTTCAGCTCTGCCCATTTGTCAGGATCATCTTTGTCCTATCAGTAAAACATCAAATAAAAATGGTCTATATAAGAAGAACTGCTAAGTGTACCTGATTTATATGAGCAATATCTATATACACAAGACTGAATTATCTTTATGTGTCTTCATCATAAACATTGTTGATAAACACTGTCTTTCATGCTAACATATAATGTTGAATCACTTCTCTGAAAGCAAGAATAAGTGCTCAGATATCAGTAGTGGAAGATGAGGTGGAGACAATATGTTTCGGAGAAAAATACTGTCTCCATTTTCAGGACTGATGCAGGGGTAATGGGCCCTGAAGATTAAGACAGCATATTTCTCTGAAATCCTGGCATTTACTTGCGAGTCTACATGATTCTAAAACATAAAGAAGACCATCCGGACTATACTTGCGTTGAAGATCAGAATTGTCTATTTTTAATTTAAGCCCATCATAACAATTTTAAGCTTAAAACTGGATGAATGACAGAGAATGATGAATTGGAAAGGATGTGGAAGGAAGTGATCATGGCCTTATTTAAGGTACTATCCTAGAATTTGCTGGAGGGGCTAAGGAAAACCACAACAAATCTCTGTTAATATAGCCAGTCTCCAAACTGAACTTTGAACGTGGGACCTTTGAAATAACAAGCAGGAAAGCTAACCACTCAACTATGACATTCAATTAAGAAAACTTTGTCATACTTACATACATTGTCATTACTCGCTCAAGAGTTTCTTTCAACTTCTTTCGCTTATCTTTTAAAACTTTCTCATTTAACGGTGGTGGTTGCAACACATTATACTCTGAAATTGAATAATTGAATATGCCAATTATAAACAATTTAGTTATAAGGTTATAACAATATATAAAAACCCTCTTCTTAAATTTATCTAATACTCTGTGCCTCTTTTGATGTCTTACAATTCAAAATCTTCGTTCTTGTCATTGCCTTCATAAATATGTAAAAGTTATGATACAAAAACTACCATTTTACTTATTCTATTATAAGGGTATAAGACGCCTGGGTAGTAAGACCCATTTACCATAGCAGTCTGATGCTTTCTCAGTGATCAATGGGTCACTGGTTGAATTACATTAATTGTCCCTTTGCTTAAACTGGAATTGTCTTAAGTTCATGCAGCTGAACACAGAACACAATATAAATGACAATTCAGAAAACTTCAGTAACTTCTTTCTTGATGCTTGGCAGAACAGGATGTTGGCTTAAAAATGCAAATGAGACTGAACATGAAATTTCCTCACTGTGATTTGGGAGATGTTTCAATGATGAAACCAGTTTATGTAAAAAATATTATTTTATTCAAATTTAATTTAAATAATAAATATCAATCAAGTCACATAAATAAGTCTGTTAATAATAATGGGGCTAAAATTTGAATCAGTATGGAGATATAAACACAGTTTATATATAAATAGTGAAGAAACACACATGAAATAGTTTGGAAAGAGGGTACAACACCATCATGCGCCCTTATTGTTTCAGATGTGTGCATTATAGTAAACACCTGTGTACCATTACATTATACCACTTTAATAAAGTTTGAGGCAAGAATCTGCTATGCTAAGTATATGTGCACATTAACAATATCTAGCATCAAGGAACAAAATTATCTATTTCATATTATGCTGGTACAATTATAATAGCGAAGACTAGGGTGCGAACTCACCCATCTGATCGATTTTCTCCATTTCTGCAATAAGCTGAATGGGATCCTTCCCCTTCAAAACAGCAGCCCGTACCATTTGCCTCTGCTTTTTATTCTTCTTCAGCTCTTTCTTACGAGCTTCTTTCCCTGAATAAAGATCGAAATTAGTTTAAAAAACTCATATTTTTAAATGTGAAGCAATTTTACTCAAAACTATTACACGATCAATTTAAGGTTATGTTCTAATGTTTACTTACTAGCTTGGTCTGTTGGGTTCATATATTTTCCACTTTTAGTGGTATTAATTGAACGTCGACCCATTTTTCTGGTATAATAAAACTCTTCACTACACTTAAAGCAAATACAGTAAAACTGGAATTTACTGAACAAACAGCCCGTAACCACATTCCATAACTAACAAAAAAAACTTATATTAATGTGACGTCATGTATAGTTAAACCCTGTCACCACGACATGGAGCGTCCGCAGGTTGCGGATGGAGGAATATCATCGCTGGATACAATCTCGGATTTAAAATGGTGGTACACCTCTTACTCATTCTTAGTTTTATCTGTGCTGTTTAGCATGTACTGTCATCTCATGGCTGATGTGTGAACTATAACCCAATCAGAAACAGAGTAGTCAGAGAGATGCTGCACTCTGGTGGCTGAATTGGGAAGGGAGTTATTTATCTGTATTTGATCATTTGTGCTGTTAAGAAAGTCCTGTCATCTGGTGGCTAAACTGTGAACTATGAACACCGTAACCGGTGAGGTACCACCCTCTGGTAGCTGATCTGGGAAGCAAGTCACGGGCACAAATACTATACATAGCCAGTGATAGAATCTGATACACAAAGACGCCATTGTAAGTCTAAGTTTGTATCCGCGTGTTAGAACATGCGAGGAGGTAGAACGAGCAAATTGCTGTTGCAAGTCACCAGTACTATTTGTTCCCAATGACTTTTAAGGTGGCGCCCACTGATGGCCAAATAACGGGACAATTGATAAGCACACTGATGATCCCCGATAATTTCGTACACATACTGAGTTAATCTTACCAGAAGAATGTTTGATGGAATTTTGTACAAGGTTGATAGAAAAGAAATCCCTCGGTAATTACCACACTCAGTCTTGTCCCCCTTATTATGAATAGGAATAATTATGAATTCCTTCCATTGTTGTGGCATCTCTTCCTTGTCCCAAATTAACTGTTTAAGCTTATGGATCTTCATATGCAAAATTTTGCCACCCGCTTTAATTAATTCTGCTGGAATTTGATCAATACCTGAAGATTTATAATTTTTCAACCTCCCAATGGCTAGTTAAACTTAATCTAAAATAGGTTCTGACACTCACAGTCCAGCTGTATGTATTTTAAAGCATTAAAACGGATTTAAGATGTTATCAAGATTCCCATGCTCTGTTAATGTCTTCATACTTGTGCACTAGGATTAGAGATGGCAGATTTGTTACTGTTATTAATTTGACATCAGTAATGAAAAGGTTTTCCATGCCTGATCAAAAATATATTTGACTTTCTAGACTAGTTAAATTACTAGTTTATACTACTGAAATAAAGGGGAAATCAGTAATATTGAATACAGTGAAAAACATAGCTCATCCACCCAGTTCACACTTCATCTGTTAAATCTGTTGTGATTGTGCACAAGCATTCATACCAAAAATAATAAGAATATTTAGATATTAAAGTGAAGCCAGAAAACAAACAAAATTTAATTGTGAATTACTCATGTAAATATGTGTTTATGACTGTGATACTTCCTCCGCAACTCTGGTGAGTTGGATGTTGCGTTCAGTCTGCGTAGCAGGATCAGCCTGGTAACATCTCTTTAATGCAGATCTCAATTTCAGACAGCGGAGGTCTGTCATCAAGGTGTGTTCTTTGTTTATAACATCCTGGTCCAAACATATCAGATGTGCTTCAAGAGCATTGTACGTTGCCCTGTATGGAACAGAAAAAGCTGTATAATGAGTCTGAAATTTGAAGGGAATATTTTGTTTTTCAGTTGATTCTCTTTCTATACCGTATGTCCACCCATCTGTCTGTCTGTCTATACATTTATTTGTCCATCCCAAGTCACTCACAGACATCAATACTAGAGATGCTAATTGAACAAATTTTGTGAAAACCACAGCCAATTACATTCCAATGGCGATTATCTCCTCTATATTTTTAACTTCCTGTTACTAAAATTTCCTACAGAATGGTGATTTACAGAAAAGTTTAAATTTTCAGGCTGAAAGAAAGACTTCTTGAGAAAATAAGTTCACATATTAGCTGAGATTACAGGAATGCTATAGTTGGTTATCATGTTCCTAATATTGTATAATAAATAGTATTTACACTACAGAGAAATCAGGATTACAAACTAACATGAAACTATTACTAACTTTCCATCATCGATCTTCTTGAAAAGATCCTGGCAAGTCTGACGTAGCTGCAGTGCCTCATCCACCAGCCCAGACTGGGCATCGTCCTGAACCAGCTCTGCACCTGGCCGAAACATGCGGTTTTCTAGCCTTGTCTCTACCAGCTTCACAGAATTAGTCTTATCCAGTACAGCCTGTTCCAAATTAGTGACCTCCTTTAACATCTTCTCCATTTCATTCATTATCTATAAACATTTCAGAGTTTTAAACATTTTATATCAAAACATAAAATTTAAGTTGATTGTTTTTAGGAGAAAGTAAATTTGATTATTATTAATAATGAGGTGTTATAAGATTTTATGTGTAAGAAATTAAAGTACAAATTAACTGACTTGTGTGAGAGGGTAAGATTTGAATAATGTATTAATATTTCAAGAAAGAAATAAAACTGAAAGATTTACTTCCATATTAATTTATTCCTACCAAGACTAAAATACAATACCAGCAACTAACCATCTTATCTCTCTCAATCAGTTTAACAGTTATATCCATGCCTGTCCCCATCAACCAATTTAAGACCTTCTCTGTCATCATACCAACCCCTAATCCATGCACGTACCTTTTGATGCTGCCATTGAAGCTCATTCTTTTCACGCTGAGTCTCATAAATACGGTGACGGAGTGCATAGTCTGTAGAATCATGCTGAGACTGAAGATCATTTCGAGATTTTTCTCTCAAAGAGAACATAGCTTCACGCAGCCTTCTAGAAGCAGAGATTTCATTGTCAGCGTTCAACTTGCTGTAGCGGGAATGCTCCAGCCAGGCCTCATATGGGATGCATCTTCAAACAAACATAACATGTCAGTGTCCAAAAATACAGCAAATCCCATCTCTTGCAGAACTATGTTAGGCAATTAAACTTCCTAACATATTTTATTTTAAATCTGGATATTGGAACAACATGGTATTTTGATAATGTATAATACAGATTGACATATCCTATATCAATGTATTTTTGATCTACAGGAAATAAAGTATTATTATTATTACCATTAACTTTGTTATCATTCACTGTCCAAAAAGTACTAAGGACCACTGTTTAAAGGTTTTCTACAAACCTCTTTGGTATTCTTAGAGGATTAGGTTTATAGCTGGTTCCAGCACAGTGCTTGGTCATCTTGCAGTTTTCTTTGTCGACAGCTAATGTGTCTTTCTTGTCGCCAATATCCAGCTGTAACTTGATCCGAACTTCGCTCAGTCTATTCTGCTCCTCCCATGCAGCATGGCACTTACTTGCCAGGAGGTCCTTTAAGTGTTCAATCACACCAAGCTCCTGGGTGAATAAAATATGTGGCAGTGATAAAAATTATGATAATAACATAACAAGAACAGGATAAATATAACTGTGAGACATTTATGTTCCCTAAAAACCACTGATATTACTGTAGGTATCAGTAATAAAAAAAATACTTTGTTGCCATAGTGGCTTCAAATGGTCATGGGTTTATAGAATGACTCATTTTACAAGTAGAATGTGTCTAAATGTAATGAAGACTTCATAATTTAATTCTTCACAAAATATTATTAGAGTAACCTAACCAAGGATGACAGGATACGAACCATATATCAGGGAAATAAGAAATTAATGCATACATTTAGTACAAAACCTTAAGGAAAGTAAATTGAGCACAGACAGAGAATAATATTAAAATTTATATTAAATAAATGGTGTGAATGTGCGGATACAATCGTAAAGGCAGAATTTTAGTCCTTTGGATTCCATTAAAATGCTCGTAATTTCCGAACTGCCTTAGTAAATATCAGTTCCTCGAGAAGGACTTTACTCTGTGGAGTTAATTTTTAAGTGTTTGATTGATTTTACAGCTATTTGTCAGATAACATTTTAAAATGATTTTATGACACAGTATTTGGATTTAGTAATACTTTACATGTTTTGTAATATTTCAAAACTAAAAGAATAGCTCACACTTTTTAATTCAGCATCTCCCTTGTCAGAGAGCACGAGATCGTTCCCATATCGCTTATCCCTCTGCCTGATGCATTCTGCTACAGTGTTCAGATGCGTAACTAGAAACTCCAGTTCTCTCTCTGTTATAGCCTTCTCTTCTGTTAATTTTGCTGTCTCATTTTCAACAGCTTGTAGGCACTGTTCTAGAACTTCTTGCCATCGAGACAATTCTGTAACCCTAGGAATGAAATGCATCTTGAAGTGATCATATTACAAACACTATAAACAATACTCTTAAATGTGAGAATTAAAGTGATTACACAAAGCTGAAATTTACTTAAGGTTGACAGCTGTAGAAAGAACACATTTTGTTTAGAGTTTATTGCAGAATACGTAAAACCTCTTTCTAAAGGTTATTACATCTTGCTTCAATGGTAACTGCTGTTTATGTTGAAAATTAAAAAGGAGTTAGCAAACTAATTCACAGGAAGTACAAATAAAACTTCA